ATTTTTATTTTGTTTTTTTAAAAACATGTCTGTCAGGAGCTCTTTGGTTTGGCGGGTTTTGTCTCATGTGTTTTTTTGTTTTTCTTTTTGTTGTTTTGGGTTTATTTATGGCTTAAGAGAGACAGCATGAGAGCAAGTGTGAACCCAAATGAGCAAATGAGCCAGAAAGAGAGAGAGAGAGAAAGAGAGTGAGAGTGAGAGACAGGATATAAATTTGGGTGGGTAGGAAGATGGATAGAATCTAGGAGGAGTTGTGTGAAGGTAAAAGCATAATCAACATATTTTGTCTGAAAAATTTGAAAAAACTCTCCAAAACAACAACAACATTTTCCAACAAACACAAGAAGTCTTCAGAGGAACAAGGAAGGGCTAGAAACACTCTGGAGCTTTTGACATGAGGAATGATAGACTGGTGAATTTTCTGGCTTTTTGTTTGTTTCACAACACCTATCCTGTCATGCATAAGATAATGAACTGGAACAGTGAGTAGGCTTTCTCTCTCTCACACACTCTCTCTCTGTATCTTGCTCTCTCTCATTTGCATACTCACTAAAGTCTCATGAAGATCATGTTGCCTTCAGAGGCTCATGTTAAGAAAATCCTGTTATTAGGGCAGCTGACCCATCTATAGTAGCCAAAAAGTAGATAAAATTTGACTGCACAAGAACTAATAATAAAAGTAATTGAAAGTTGTATTTTCTTATTTCTGCTCCATGTTTCTTTATTTTTCCTTTTCTTGAAAACAGATTTTTTTTTCACATAATATATCCTGAATACAGTTTCCATAACCTCTACTCCTTCCATTTTCTCCCGTCTCCGCTCTCATCTGGATCTAACCCATTTCTGTCTCTCATTAAAAAACAACCAAAAGCTAGGTACAGTGGCATATACCTGTAGTCCAGTTCTCAGGGAGGCAGAGGCAAGCAGATCTCAGTGAGTTCAAGGCCAGCCTGGTGAGTCTAGGACTGCCAAGACTACACAGAGAAAACCTATCTCAAATAAACAAAAAGAATCTAAAGATAAAAGATAAAAAAAATAAAACAAAACAGAACTAACATTTGGGAGTTGGACAAAACAAACAATTCAAAGGAAAGAGCCTAAGAAAAGGCACAAAAAACAAACCCACTTGTTTATACATCCAGGAATCCCACATATACTCTAAACTGGAAGCATAATTATCCAAAGGTCCTGAAACAGATGTGTGCGAGACTATGCATGCTGCCTCAGTCTCTCTGAATTCATATGAGCTTTGATCATGTTGATTTAGAGGGCCTTGTTTTCTTGGTGTCCTCCTTCCCTTCTGGCCCTTATATTCTTTCTGCTTTATCTTAACCAGGCTTCCCTAAACTCTAAGAAGAGGAGTGAAGAGATATGATGAAGATATCTCATTTATGGCTGAAGGTTCCAAGGTCTCTCACTTTCTGTATAACATCTGTCTGTGAGTCTCTGTATTTGTTCCCATCTGCTGATGGCTAAGCAAGACACTGATCTATGAGTTTGGCAGAATGTCATTAAAAATAATTTAATTGTTACATTTTTAAAGAATAATAGTATTTTCTTTTGCCCTAGGTCCCCAGGATATCTACTATCAGGTTCTTGGTCACCCAAGCAGTGTCAGGTAGGAGCTAAATATCATGGAGTGGGCCTTAGTCAAACCTGATATTCATTGGTTACTGCCACAACCTTTGCCACCATTTCCTTAGTAAATCTTGCACACAAGGCACCATTGAAGATCAAAGGACTTGTAGCTGAGTTGGTGCTTACATTTGTCTTTTGGTAGTGTGCAGAATATTTTTCTATACCAAAGACGCTAGAGGCAAAAGCTCTGTATAGGCAGGCACCAGCTCAACTTCTACATGATAAATGAGTTGTGTAAGTGTTGATTTCAGCAACGGGAACTTGCCATTAATTTGTGGAGAGCAATGTATAGTCCTGACAACAGCTTGGGTTGTTTGGGGAATATCACCGGACCTCTTTGGCCAACAACTCAATTAGATATAACCCAATCATAGTAATGGAAGATTCATTTGGTGACAAGTGATGTCCAGTTGGGACTCTGTCTTCCCCATTATTTGGCAATTTAATTTAGATCAAGTTCATATATGTATATATTTTATGAAATTTCTACAATATTTGGTTTCTACAGCACTTCTCAAATAGTCTTTAAAGTTCTTTAGCTCTTTCTGTCTCTCTCCTTATATTCCCTTCCCCATTCTCTGGCTCAGACAGTCCTTAAACTGTATAATGCCTATGTAGAGGTTAGGTATTATCAAAGTGAAACTTGTTATCAAAGAACAGTGCTTGATTGCCTAGGCCTTTCAGGTACCTCCCTGAAGGAGCGACCCAAAGAACTTGAGTGTATTTCCTATAACCCAGTATTCCACCAAGGCAGAGGAGTTACTTTGTGGAGGTAAATATTTTAAAATGCACTAGAATGATTTAACAATATATTTTTTATCATACAAAATAAAGGATTCTTAAAATTGAACGTCAGTTGACATGAACCATCTGAAAAGTAGGAAACACACACACACACACATATGCATGCACACATACACAGCGAGCGAGAGAGAGAGAGAGACAGAGAGAGAGAAAATTGATAGAATCTGAGACCCACAGAACATTTTCTCATGTAAAGACATCAATACAATTATCATAGGAGAAAGACTGAGAAAAAGGAGGAATAGTTGAACAAACCTTAACAATAAATCTCAAACTTGATGGAAGATAAAAAGGCGCATGTTCAAGAAGCTCAGTACCAACCCAGAGGACAATCGCAATGCCACCTGCCCCAAATTTCTCTAGAATGGCATTGTTGAGGAAAGAACAGAGTCTATAAAGCTGATCCAGAGAATGCCCAATACAGGACAGTTAGGAAGTTCAGTAATTTTTCATATGAAAATGTGTCAGCATGAAGTTGGTGGTATGAGATATCTAAAGATATAAAAGAGAAAAATACTGCCCATTAATGACTATGTACTTGGTAAATTCACTTATTAGAGGAAACACTGAGACTTTCTAAGGTAAATAAGAACTAGATTGTCCATCTCTTGTGGACTCTCATAAGAAATCATTAGATTGTCCATCTCTTGTGGACTCTCATAAGAAATCATAAAGACTATAGACTGTTGATGGCTTCTGGGAATAGAAGTGTCAATTTTCTTTTTTTCCCTTCCTTCCTTCCTTCCTTCCTTCCTTCCTTCCTTCCTTCCTTCCTTCCTTCTTTCTTTTTTTTTTTCTTTTTTCTTTCTTTCTGAGATATGCCCTTACTGTTCAGTGCTGGTCACACTTGGGAAAAGGATTTTAGCATGGGTTTCTTGGCTTCTGCTATACACATCAGATAGTTCTGGCTCATTAGTTGGACACAGGTGTGTCATTAATGCAGAATACAATGCTGTATTTTAAGGGAATCTGGACTCTATATTTGTTAAAAGTCGTATTTTAATTTAAAATAAAGATAATTAAAATAAATAAATAAAATTATTATATAAAGTGAAAAGTATTCGTAGGAAAGCTTGATTTATACAGTGAGTTCTCAGCCACCCAGTCCTACAAAGAGAAACTTTGGGTCTTAGTTAGGGTTTGTATTGCTGTGAAGAAATGCAATGACCGCTGCAGCTCTAATAAAGGAAAACATTTAATTGTGGCTACATTACAGTTCAGAAATTTAGTCCATTGTCATCATGTCAGAAAACATGACAGCATTCTGGCAGATATGATGGAAAAGGAGCTGAGAGTCCTACATCCAGTTCCACAGGCAGCAGATAGAAAGAGTACCTGAGACTGGCTTGAGCACTTGAAACCACAAAGCCCACCCCAAGTGACACACTTTCTCTAAAAGGCCACACTTCCTAGTAGTGCCACTCCCCATGTGCCTATGGTGGACATTTTCATTTATAACACCACCACACCCTGTCTTAATTTTCTACCACTATGATGAGACACAATGATCAACATAACTTGTTGAAGAAAGAGTTTAATGGGGGCTTAAAGTTCACATGGTAAGTCTATAACCATCATGGCAGGTAGAATGGCAGGCCAGCAGGCAGGCATAGTGCTGGAACAGTAGTTGAGAGCTTTCAACCTGGTCCACAAATGGAGGACAGAGAGAAAGGGCTCACTGGAAGTGGCTTAGGGTTCTGAAACCTCCAAACCCATCACCAGTAACATACGTCCTCCAAGGAGGCCACACCTCTTAGTTCTTCCCAAACATTCCACCAACTAGTGAGCAAACAGAAATATATGAGCCTAACAGAGGCATTCTAATTCAAACCACAATAGCAGACCCTGCCTCAAAAAATGTGTTCCTTAAATTTTAAGAAGGAACCGTTTTTAATAAGTTACACTTTTACCCATTTATAGTTTTTCCACAATTCCTTTAATTAGATGACATTCTTCCAAAGGTCAATGGTGAAGTGTTTTATGCAGGTGTGCGGTCTGGAACAGAGAGCAGCTGTGCAGTGTAAAGACTCCTGATCTACAAGAACCTCACTCAGAGTTGGAGACACAAAAAGTGTGGACCATTAACCACAGGAAAGTGGGTGCTTGAGGTAACAGGATGTATTTCAAACTTAACTTGAAATATGTGAAAAAAAAATGCATGTTCCCCCACACTGACTTGGAGCAAATATCTCTTAAATTTGTGTTTAACTAAGATGGCAGATTTTTACTTTTAGAAACTCACGTAAGAAAGATGTTTATTTTTAGCAATTCTTTGGTCACTGTCAGTATCCACAAGATGGCAGCCTCTTCTCAAAGAATGGGGAAAACTCTCAAGTGGTTTTGAGTCAGAAATTTGTGGAGAAAAGGGGAGGAGAAGAGAGGTAATGAAGGAGGGGAGGGGTTTGATGATGAAAACAAAAGGTGGTGAAATGTGATTTTTTTTCTCTACTTGGTGGAACAGTATCTTGATGTTTCCTGAAGAAGAAACATTAGAAATGGGAGACTAATTTTGGGGGGCTTTGAAACTGAATCCTCAGTGAAGAAGGGAAGAGAGAGTGATGAAATCCTTGAGCTTTTTGCTGGTGGTCCTGTGTCTTCAGTTTAATTGTGAGTTTGGATATTTCCTTTGCTTATAAATTGTGGTGTGTGAAGCTGTTTCTAGTTATAACTCTAGAATAATGGTAAAAATGCAAATGTTTTAAGTCTTTATTTAAGGGGTGGGAGTCTCATGGACAATTGTTAGCATTCTGGTGTGTTAGCATCCCTATGCCTCCAGTCCTGTTTGCCTGACCTTTGTCTTTCTGCACAGGGGTGAGCAGCCAGCAGAAGGTACAGCAGATCCCAGAAGCCCTCAGTGTCCCAGAGGGAGCCATGGCCTCTCTCAACTGCACTTTCAGTGATGGTGTTTCCAACATCTTCAGTTGGTATAGACAGCATTGTGGGAAAGGCCTCGAGTTGCTGGTGTCCATCTTCTCCAATGGTAACAAGGAAGAAGGCAGATTCACAGCTCACCTCAATAAAGCCAGCCTGCATGTTTCCCTGCACATCAGAGACTCCCAGGCCAGTGACTCTGCTGTCTACCTCTGTGCAGTGAGCACACGGTGCTCCCCAGGCACCTGCAGCCTGCACACAAACATGCTGTGCTCAGTAAGGTCTGAGCTCGAGCATGCTTGATTTTGAAAGTATTTGCTTTATGAAAACACCTCATCTAGAACACATAGTGCCCTAAACTTCATGTCTCCTATTCTTCCTTTTTTTCATAAACTGCTGAATCTAATTAGTGGTGGCATATGCTTATGGGTGTGCGATCATCCACTGTTGCATGGGAAACTAAAAGTGTCCCCCTTCCAAAAGAAAAATGACTCCCCTCACCCAACATCTATCAATTACCAATATCTCCTCAGTAATAAAAGAGGAGCCTCAGTCCTTTTGCCCTCAATACTTGAATTTCTAGCTGTTTTGGTTTTGTGCATGTCTGGTGTAGGAAACCACAGGTCTTTTGAGTTCATGTTGTGCAATAACCACGTCATGTCCAGAGGACATTTTGAAGCTCTCTCCTCACCTTCTTCGACATTTTTTTTCCTTTTTTCTTTCAAGATGTTCCCTAGGCTTTGTTGTGATGAAAAGAGTAGAGAGGTTTCCCCTATGGATCATCACTCACATTCTCCTTTTCTCAGCACTTGGAGCATTCTTCCTATTGTTGGGATCCTACAGTGTTCCAACTCCTTCTTCTGTGGTATTTTCCTGTCCATGGAAGGTCTGATATAGATACCCCATTTAGGTTTGAGTTCTCAACACTTACTCTCATAACCCTGGGTAGTTATGCATCGCTGAATTAACACGCTGAATAGAAAGCGTCTTTGACCAAGGTTGAGAGCAACAATATTCCTATTGTTGGCTCTTGTTTGACATCAGAGTCATTTATTCCTTGCAGTTGGGAGACACACTTTGTCTCTTCCTTTGGATGATCTATCATCAATTCTGGTTCATAAATGGAGTCTCAGATCTGGTCATGCCTCTGTGAATTTCTTCAGAGATCCAGCTGTAAACACTGGCTCTGCTTCTGTTCAGTACATGCCAAAAAATTTCACTGTTGAATTTTGTATAGATCCAATTCAGTTTTCTTTCTGCAGTCTCACAGTATTCTCTTGTCCCATGCAGCTATTTTTTTATTAGTGAAGAGAATAAAAAGCTTAACATATTTAACAACACTAGAGAAACATGAAAGGCAGAAGAGTCAACAGCAGCTAGTGACTATTGCTGTCAGGCAGTCAAGGTCAGCATCCAAGAAAGTGCATGTCAGAGGTAGTACCTAAATGTTATATGACCATATCCCAAGTTGGAACATGTATGGAGAATGATCACGCAGCTGATTAAGTAATGCCAACATCATTACATCGGGGCACATGACCAGTCTCTTCCATAGCTTTATATGGACCTTAGACAAGGAGACTGACAGCTTTTCCTCTCTGAAATGGTGTTCTCTTGGAGGTTTCTCTCACTTTTCCTTAATATCTCATGTTTTAATAAAGATTTCTTTGCACACACACACACACACACACACACACACACACACACACACACACCCACATTTTCTTCCCTACACTAATATGAGATCACAAACTCAGAGCTACTGTCCCAGGTTAAACTTTGGTGAATATGAGTGTCTGACACTGGTTCTTTTGGTCATTTACCACAGTAAAAAGAAACAAACAACAAAATCTTGACATCTGTATGATCTATATATATCTCTTTCTGCATTCATGTGTTATTGAATTAAGCTGTTACCTTTTAATATGTTCTAGGAAAAGTCAGAGAATGGATGTCTTTGAAATTTCTTCTTAATCAGCTCTGAACATTCAGGCATCTCACAGTGTGTTCTAGTGGCAAGATGAGGTGGAGGTGGCAAGCACCAGATGGCAGATGACAGGATGGCAGTGCTTCTGTCCCTTATGTCTTGGATTTAAGTCATTATCACTGTGTGTGTGTGTGTGTGTGTGTGTGTGTGTGTGTGTGTGTGTGTGTAGACTGAGCTTTCCTCTACCTGGTTAGGTTAAAAGCCAAAGGCTCTAGAAAACAGCCTTGATACATACTCAATAGCTGGAACTAACTCTTTTTTCTTAGGAATCTAGTTCCAAATCAGGGTCCGATCTGTATTCCCTGTGATAAAGGAGAGCATGGACAAACTCTGGGAGTTATGGGGCTGTAAGCCTATAACTAGCTGGTGAGGCCAATCTATCGATAATGAGAACAGGGATGTCTAAGTTCAGAAGCTGCATCATAGAAGAGGCCAGGTCTTCTTGATAATTTGTAAATTTACTTGAAAAATGTATGTGCTGTGCTGACTTCTGATCTCTAGCCCATGTTTCTGTCTAGCAGTGAACAACCTACAAGGAGAAGATTATTCTATGCCCCAAACATCTAGGAGGCTGGACATGTCAACAATATCCGCAGGCAAAATCTTCCATAGCTGCACTGTGGAGGCACAGGCAGAGCACAGATAAAAGCTACCCTGCTAAGCTTAAGAAATTTAACAGTTAGAAAGAAATATTGGATGACTAAGAATCACCACTGATGCAGTAGGAATAAGCGTTAAATAGATTGACTGTTGTGCAGACAGGCAGTCAGAGGGGCCATATAGTTAACATCAATGTTGGACTTCAAGATGATTGGCTTTTCTTCAGCCTCTTGACCTGAGAAAAAATTGGCAGTATAAAACAGAGGCCTGGTGAAGCTTCTCTCCATCAGTAGATCCCCTGCTGCTGTTGGAACTGAACAAGTTCTAGGCCTGCTCAGCACATGTTTATGTCAAAGCTGTGGGTCAATCATCCATTTTGTGTTTATTCAAACTGAGCAACTCTAAATGAGGGAAGGAAAATCTTTTAAAGAATCTTACAAACTTCAGCCTTGGAGATGACACGAGAATTTTGGGTTCCTGAATGTCCTCTCTGTGTTCTCTGTTTTTTTTTTTCCTCTCTGTTTCCCTCTCTTTATCTTTTCTGTCTCTCTTTGCGTGTGCTTGTGTGTGTGTGTGTGTGTGTGTGTGTGTGTGTGTTTAGCTTTCTCCATCAGTTGGTTCTGTCTACTGTGTTTTCCCTGCTTCTGTGTGCTATAGTCTATATTTTTCTTGCCTTGAACTTTAGCTAGCAGAGTAAAGAAATTCATCACAGCCCCAGATGGTCACAGACCTTCACTCAAACTAGTTTCCTCTCCCTGTTCTAGCTGCAAACTGCTGCTTACTTCTGTGCTGTAGACACAGTGCCCATGTGCCTGTTGCTGTAATGCAAACTCTCAGCGCTGCTTCCTACATACCCTACCTATGGTTGGGGGCTGTACTTACCTCTTCTCATGAAGAAAGGCCCATTATCAATAGGAAAGATGAACCCGTTAAAAAATTCTAACTTTTCAAACCATCTTTGATTGAAGTAAAATGCCATGTGCATAGATTCAAACAACAAAACACCAGGTTCATTCCTGGCCATTCTTACATGCATGCCTTCAAGTGTAGTGACTTTGCATTTCTTCTCTTGAAAGGAAGGATTCAGATTACCAGTCACAAAACATTCCTCAAGCTCTGATATCAGAATAAGGAGTCTTGTATCCTTGTGGATCATGAAGAAGGACTGCCCAGAACTACGGAAAGGTCCTAAAGGATTCATGTGTAGCCTCAAGGCCTAGATAGTTCTTTGAAACACTGAGATGAGTCTTATATTCTTCAATTTCAGGAAGTGGTGGTTCATCATGTGTTATACTGAGTAGGTTATTGAAATGCTATGCTTTGAAAGTAGGTATTTCTATGAGGAATTATGTCTAGTATCTAGTCATTCTTGCTTCCAGCACACACATGCACTATAGTTTTCAAATCCCGCATCTTTTTTCAGCTGACATTTATTCTTCCTGGAATCTCAAACATTCAGTCATCCCACTGTAACTCAGGTTTCGTCCTCACTATGTCACTCATCGACCTCTCAAGACTTTCACTGACTCTTCTCTCCCCTACAGCATCTGGCATCCTTCGCTTTTTTCTGAGCCTCAGTGCAGGCCTTGCTGATGCAGGGCTGTTCTATTCTTCATGTCTTCAAAACAACCACCATGCAGATGACATTGACTTCTGCTGCCAGCTTTCCCTGAAGCCTGCCCCTGTTTATCACCGCAGTGAGAGGAACAGTGTGAAGGGTAAACTGAGTAAAACACTTTCCAGCATGGCCTCTTTCTAGAGTGTGCCCAAAGAGACTATTTCCCTAAGAACTTTTTCTTTAAGTGAATGTCTTCTCTCTTCATACTCTGGTGAATCTTACCTTCCAGGCACCATTTCTCTTGTTTGAGGGAAAAGTGACAGGTATTCTCTACAATAGCAAAAATCTCTTTAATAATTACAGTTGAGAGGCTTTGGTAAGTGGTATCTATAAGAAAATCATCCATTTCATTTAAATTTTCCAATGTTGTGGTGCACAGGTTTTTGAAGTATGATCTAATGATTCTTTGGATTTCTTTAGTGTCTGTTGTCATATCCCCTTTTTCATTTCTGATTTTATTAATTTGGACAATCTCCCTTTGTCTTTTAGTTAGTTTGGCAAAGGGTTTGTCTATCTTGTTGATTTTCTCAAAAACCAGCTCTTGGTTTTATTATTTCTCTGTGGTTTTAGTACAGAATTCTACTAGACTTTCAAAGAAAAATTAATACTAATACACCTCAAACTATTCCATAATATAGAAACAGAATTAAGAATGCCAAACACATTCTATGAGAAAACAGTCACCCTGATACATGAAGTAAACAAAGACTCAACAAAGAAAGAGAATTTCAAACCAATCTCATGAATATTGATGTTAAAACACTCAACAACATACTTGCAAACTAAATCTGGGGGCAAATCAAAAATACCATCCATTATGATCAAGCAAGCTTCATGCCAGGAATGCAGGGATTCAACATATGAAAAATTCATCAACATAATACACCATATAAACAGACTAAAAGAAAATAAAACCCACATGATTATTTCATTGGATGCTGAAAAGACCTTTAACAAAATCCAACACTCCTTCATGTTTAAAGTCTCAGAGAGATCAAGGATACAAGCCACATATCTAAACACAATAAACACAATATATAGTAATCTAATAGCCAAAATCAAGTTAAATGGAGAGAAACTTAAAGTATTTCCACTAAAATCAAGGACAACACTAGGCTGCCTGCATTCAACATAGCTCTTCAATATGGTATGTTGGTATAATGTTCTTTTAAAATGTACCCACCTTATCCTTGTTCATTCAAATGCTGATCCCCCACCCATTCTCTGGTTTCAATCCAGATATTGCATTGTAATACTCATTCTAAGCATCCTGTCCCAACTCTTGGGAAAACAGGCCTAAATAAAGCAACTAGACACAATATTGAGCTGGGTGGAGCCAGAGGACAGGAAAGAGGGGAGGAGCTAGAGGGCAGGAAATGAGTAGGAGGAGAACAGGCGAGCTTGAAGGCAGAGCAGGAGGATGGATCTTGGAGGACTTGGAGCATGACCCAGACCTAAGATTTCACAAAAAAGCAAATATAATGTGGGAAATCTAAATGTTAGGAAACTATGAGGGCTTGGAGGAGGGAGTAACTATTGCCCAGCATTGTGTTCTAGGTTAACTAAATAAATCCAGTCTCTGTGAGGTGATTTGGTTATACAGCTGTTTAGGAGAACAGCTTTACTAAAAGATAATTATTAGACAATATTAATTGTCTCCTACAACAATGGTAATTGAAGTTGTAGGTAGAGTAATAAGACAAGTAAAGGAGATAAAAGGGATACAAATTTAAAAAAACAGCAGTCAAAGTATCACTATTCTTAGGTGATACGATAGAATACATAAGTGACCCCGTGATTCTACCAGAGAACACCTACAGCTGATAAAAACATTCATCAATGTGTCTGAATAAAAAATTAACTCAAAATGTCAGAAGCCCTTCTTTATAAAAGTGACAAAATGGCTGAGAAAGAAATTAGAGAAACAACATCCTTCATAATAGCCACACATAATATAAAATATCTTGGTGTAACCCTAACCAAGAAATGAAAGCCCTGTATGACAAGAATTTTAAGTATTTGAAGAAAGAAATTGAACATTTTAGAAGATGGAAAGATCTCCCATGTTCATGTATCAGTAGGATTAACATAGTAAAAATGGCCATTATGCCCAAAGCCATCTACAGATTCAATGCAATACCCATTAAAATCCTAGCACAATTCTTTACAGACCGAGAAAGAGCAACCATTATCTTTATATGGAAAAATAAAAGATGTAGGATAGTCCAAAATATTATGTATAATAAAAGAATGTGTGGTGGTATCAACATCCCTGATTTCAAGCTATACTACAAGCAATAGTATTAAAAAATGCAAGGTACTTGCATAGAAACAGGCACGCTGATCAATGGAAATGAAGCCACACTCCTAAGGCCACTTGATTTTTGACCAAATGCCAAAACCATACACTGGAAAAAAGAAAGCATCTTCAACAAATGGTGCATGTCGTACGAGATGTCTGAATTTAGAAAAATGCAAATACACCTATATTCATCACCCTGCACAAAACTGAAGCCCAAGTGGATGAAAGATCTTGACAGAAAACCAGAGATTCCGGATCTATTCAAAGACAAAGTGGGGAAAATTCTGGAACTCATTGGCATAGGAGACAAGTTCCTGAACAGAACAGCATCAGCACAGACTCTGAGATCAACAGTTAATAAATGGGATCTCATGATACTGAGAAGCTTCTGTAAGTCAAAGAACACTGTCAATAGAACAAAATGGCAGCCTAGAGATGGGTAAAAGTTCTTCACTAACAGTACATCAGACAGAGGGCTAATATCCAAAATATTCAAAGAACTTGAGAAATTAAACACCAACAAATCAAGTAATCCAATTAAGAAATGGGATAAAGAGCTAAAGAGAGAATTCACAGCAGAGGAATCTCGAATGGCTGAGAAGCACTTAAAAATGCAGATTCTCATATGAACTCACAGAGGTTGGCAGCAGGCATAAGACTAGCAAAGGATCAGACAAATGGGGACAGTGGGCATTCCCTCCCTTAGCTACGGAGCTGTTGGCAGTTTGTATCTGCTGAGAGAGAGAGAGATGCAGTTTAAAAATGCAGCTCCTGGTGCTTAGACCACCCTCTACTGAGGGAACAAAGCTAAGAGTATATGGGAAGAACAGCCGGAAAGACAAAAATTGAAGTGTATTATTTAAAAAAAGAGGGGCACAAAATGTGGTTGGTAGGGAAGTTGGATAGATCTGTTAGAAATGGAGGGAACAGATGGGTATAATAATAACTCACTGCATAACATTCTCTAAGAACTAATAAAATGAGAAAAATAGATGAATTTTATCAGGTGTATGCATGTGTGTACTCTTTTATGTATACTCAACATATTAAATACCATAGGATACATGTGGTTCATAACACAGGTGTCAGCTAGAGACCTGTCTGCTTAGGGTGAGGTTTCAAGTTTATTCAAGATGTCTTGTGCAGCCACCTGAGGTGCAGGTTGAAGGGAAATCAGCAGAGGGCGCTGCTTCCTTACATGTGGGTTAAATCTCCTTTAGGTGGCTTAACATGACAGACTCATTGTGCAGACAGAGGTCCTTGCCCATGCATGAGGAGTTTGAGGATGTCCTGCAGAAGACTTGCCCCGTGAGATTTGTGCAGTCAAGGAACAAGTGTCATTTCCTCTATAAACATGCTACCTGTCACCTGCTCAGTTCTTGTGCTCCTCTTCATGCTCAGTAAGTT